GGTCGTGAGCCGCATGTTATCTGTTTTTGAAAAACGTTGCAACATCGGTAGGTACTGCAATAGGCATTATTATGTGGTTAACTCGTGTCAATGTGGCTTGTGTGGCTATAAGCGTGGCAAATTTTTTTAATTGAAAAAACTATTGATACAATTTGCTCTAGCTTCCTTGGAGGAAGAGACCATTCATCTGGTGTTGGAGAAGGATCCTCCGTCTTTCCTCGATAAAGCAACGGGTTGCCTTTTTGGAGGAATGAACAATTGCTGGATTCCTTTAATAGTGAAAGGGTGCCTTCGTTTCCTCCAGTAATGCCGTTTGCTAGAGAATAAAGCGTATTGAGTGTGCTTAGACTTTCGTTCAATAATAATAACAAACAACAGTGATCATTAGAACAAAAACAAGAAATTTAATCAATGCCAAATCAGCTTATAAATAATGAAAATTGCTTCATGAGCATCGGACCATAAAAGTATCGTTTTGGCTTCATCGAATTTGAAAGATCCCTAATAGGAATATGCCATTGGAATGTTTTAAGAACACAAACATGGACATAACTATACATCGTACTCAAAAAATGGACCCGTTTATTTTTTCCGTAGACATGGCCTTAAAATGTTTGACGTATCGCAAATCTGAATCTTAGACTTGTGGAAAATCTTAATCTATGATTAGATATAATATCATTGTTGTTGTTATTGTTGAATCTGTGATTAGAGATAACAGCATTCAGGTTTTTGTTGAATCCGTAATTGGTAACAGTCATCATTGAATTGCAACACACATTTATCCACCTCCTTTTTTGCTGCACATTAGCATTGTTTTCAGGTATGAATTTAATTGAATTTTAACCTCATCAGAATCTCAGATGGAGTTCCTCTTGGATGTAAATGATAAATGAATTTCTATATGGATGCTAATTTTCATTTTGTGACAGAACCTCCTCAACTGTTCTGGCTTCATCATTTTGTTTATGCTTTGTCTGTTATTAGGTTTTCGATCAACGTTCATTTCTTGTCATGTGCTTAATTCTGCACGAAATTCCTTGATTCACTTGATCGAACCTACTGGAGTTGGTTTTTCTCCAAGGAGACAATGATCGTTATTTTTTAGCTCTTGTTTTCCTCCTGAAAATAATGATCATGCTTTTAGAGTTCAACATATGATTATTGCAGGGTGCTACAATTGTAGATCAACGAGTGTACATCACACGGTGGGGACATTTTGATGATGAGTTTGGTTTTTGGAGTAGGCCTTCCGGTCACCATGAAGAAGACAGTAGGAGTACTGTAAGTGTCGAAGAATTATATTTATAGATATTTCCTACCGGTTGCAATTTGCAAATGTTCTCTTCCTATAGACAATCTTTGATTAATTAATAAATTCTCCATCTTGTAGTCGCCACAAAGAAGTCAGTTTGCTTCCAGCGCTGGGAGCGCAGTGACCATGGCCCAGGAAGTAGTCAAAACCATGCTGGCCATGGGCTACGTGCTGGGCAAAGATGCCTTAATCAAAGCCAAAGCCTTCGATGAATCTCATCAGGTCTCAGCGACCGCAGCAGCTAAGGTAGCTGATTTGAGTCAGAGAATTGGGCTTACTGACATGATTGGTGCGGGTTTTGAAGCTGTCAAAACCATGGATGAGAAGTACCATGTATCTCAGACAACCAAATCAGCTATATCAGCCACCGGAAGAACAGCTGCTGCCGCAGCCGATACCGTGGTCAGGAGTAGCTACTTTTCCAGGGCAGCTCTTCTCATGTCTGATGCCCTGAATCGAGCGGCCAAAGTTGCAGCTGACTTGGGTAGTCGTGGTCTTGAACATTAAGGCGTTAGAGAGCACTTGTAGTCATCTCATTGTAAATAACGAAACTTAAATACGTAGCTTAAAAGTTTGAAAAGTTATACTGATACATGGTAGCTATATATGTAAATTTTACATTTCATAGAGTTCAACCTCACTAGTTATTTGACCCCCCACGAGTTTGCTAGATTTTAACCCCAGATTCGGTTAAATCCGGTCAGAGATGGTCTTTATGTGAGTCGCTGTCAGTTTGTAAATTCAGTATCCTTAAGAGTCAAATCTGTTCTTTTCTTTAGCACTCTCGCAAACGTCTCCCAAATTGTACTTTTTACAATCCTTGTGCTCACAGATTGTCTTCTCCTTAATCAGTTTGTTAGTTGAAATTACTCTCGAATTTGATACACTTATTCGGTTCGTTTAGATTGTTGGTATTGTCTAATAGGGAGGCGATAAGGATGGATGCTTGATTTGGGCGTAACAAGAAAGAACTCCCGCATGCAAATCCATGATGTTGCCGCCTTGGATGGTTCCTTCCAGCTGTAACTGTCTGAGACTTCCAACTCGTTCCAGCAGGCAATGGCTCCCTTCAAGTTACAGGTCGGTCTGGTCTTTCAATTTTTTTGCTGTGGACTGCAGTCTCATCAACTAGACATCGAACATGCATTTTTATTACATGATTCTTGGCATTTAGGCAACACGAGGAACAGACTCGAATGTTATATCTAAGCTGTTAATTAAATGATGAAGTCTCGGCCATAACATTTGAATCATGCACTGCACAATATTCCCACACACCGTGGCTGTATTGTCGTGGTCGGAGTCGATCACATCGTCTGCTGCAAGTACATAAATAGTTTGAACAGAAGTGATCATGGACCCCTTCTTTATTAAAAAGAAAAAAAAGTATCTTCCCTGTATGGAACGACCATTTTCCTAGTACCTTGAAAAGCATCCCATCCAATAAAATAGAAACTTGAATATTTTACTGAGATTGAAACTGCCGGGGAAACATTCAACCTGGAGTTTAGTGGAGTCAAAACCTTATTAGCTGGGAATTATGGAGTCGGAAAGGGAAATAAAGAGAACAATAGTAAATAGTAATAATAATAGGAGGAGGTTGTATAGTCTGACTTTTGCAGAAAATGATGATGAAAGAGCAATTATGTTGGGGCAATTGTAGTGTACAAATTTTTGTTTTTGGGGGTATCTGAAATAATTGTCCTTTTGAAACTGTTTGGACCTTTTTGTTGCTGTGATGGGTTAAGAGACAGACCCCCTTTGAATGGTGGGTCAGTGGTAGTGTGCGATTGTTGGTGTGGGTCTTTGCAAATAACAGTGATTTGAAACTGACTGAGCACGTAGAAGGTAAGTCATTGTTTCTCCAAAGGAGACTCCTGCCTCCATTTCCTTCACTCCGCAGCAGCTTTCTCTTCCCCTGCCGCTTTATCTTTCAAAAGGGAGAGTTTTTAGATCTATGGATTTCTTTTTGCAGCTCCTCTATTGGTTTGTCTGTTATTTAGGTTAAAACCCTAAAATCATCCTACCTTCTGGAACTCGCTTCTTAAGTTTATGAGGTTTCTCTTTTGGTCTGAAAGAATCCCGAGGCCTAGGAAGGAGATGACGTCCTTCATCACTATACATAACAAAGAATTTGCTCACAAATCTCAAAGATTTGTGTAATACGCCAATCTTATCCTTCCCTTCTTTACTATTCTCCTAATAGATTGGCAGAAAGCAGCCATCTGTTAACGAATGGGTTTCTTCCAAGGGCCCACCTTCTGAAAATTTAGAATAATATTTAAAGGTTTATTTTTTCACAAGTGCTCATCTAGAAAGTAAGGTTTTACAAGTTGACGTCGATAGTAGTGGCAATAGAAATATAACATCTGGTAAACTAAAAATTTAAAATATTAATATTAATATTATATCTATATAAGTGATATTTTTTTAAAAATATATTTTATATATATATATTTTTTTGCAATACTATGGAGATGCCGATGTCGAATGCATAGACTATTGACAAAAATTTGATACCTTGTCGGTTAGTAGATATCTCTCACTTATCAAACAACTAATAGAGATGAATGCGTAAAGGAATAGATATAAAATAGATTTTTTTTTCCAAAAAATAAATAGCTGTAAATTTTTTAATAATAGTAATTAGGAAGATACTTAGGAAAGCATCTAAATATTATTCGAAAAATTAAGTTGTATTTAAACCAGATTTTTCACCATATCCGCAAATTCGTTGGGAATGGATAATAATAGATGGTGAATAGACAACACACAAAATTGGTGAAAAGGTGTCCCAATAGAAAATACTGATAAAGGATATTAATCCGTTATGATCTAAGACTTTTAAATCAAAGCAAGAATTTGGAATGATATGAAAATTAATTAATTGAAGTGACCTTGAGACAACTATGAGAATAAAACTCTGTATGTGAACCATGGGAGAGAGATATTAAAAAAAATTACTTAAGGAAATTCCAATTATTGACTTTATTGACAAAGTCCCATGAACCATGATTGAACAATGAATTAAAAATGATTAAGCAACATAGAAGGAAGGTAGAATAAGCCACATTTTGTGTATGTGGACAAGGAATGAAAATCACAAGTTAAATCCAAAATCACACACTAAATTATATATAGATATTATAATGTGTTGTAATAAAACACCTCTCTTTTTCTACTAACAAACACTATAATTATGATATCCAAAAAGAAAGCAGATCGTTGTAAATGTTTTTGGAAACTTCACTTAACTCATAATTAAAACACTCTAAAAAGATTATTTAAGTAAATTGGGGTATCATACTTCCAAAACTCACTGTGTATATATATATTACCACGAGATCAAGAAGCTGCCAAATTATCTTGGTAACTTCCATGATGGGACGTGATCATCACAGTTAAAAATATAAATATACAAATACAAAAATGGACAAATCAGCTTTTTGGTGCGTTCTTCAAAATTTAAAATTGTTTTTGTTTTTAAAAATAAAAACAGCATCCACTTGTTTGAAAAAAGGGACACCAGACTTTGGAGATTTTTATTTCATCTAAATAAGGTAGCTATGGTTAAAGCCACTTTCTTTTCACACCCTTTATGTATACAAATATAAATATACAACACTTGTTCATTTCAAAAGGCCAGAAAAAGAAAAATGTGTGATTTTTTTTTTTAAAAAAAAAAAGACTTTTTGAATCCTAAACAAACTCACTGTTCATAAATGTTGAAGCCAATCAGGAATTGTCCCTACCAAACCAACGGCTGAGATTGAGAATACCACCTTAGCCAAAAGTCATTATTATTATAATAATAAATAAATTTATTTATTAAAGAAACTGTAAGCTAAAACCAGTTGTTGGGGAATCCCTATCGCTGCATATCTTCCTGCGTGAAAGGGGAAATGAATATATATTTATAGAATAGGCAGCATTCAGAAATACTTAATTTATTTAATATTTTAGAAATGAGAGATGGAAAATCGAGTGACGTCAGAGAGAGGAAGCACATGGGATCAATCAGTGTCAGCTGAATACACCAGAAGCATGAACACATGTGGAGGAGAAGATTCAGATTATTAATTAAAAAATGATTTTTTTTTATGATTTTAATTTTAATATTTGAAAAGAAAAAAAAATGAGGAACAGGGCAGGGGGAAGAACATGGATCCACCCCATTCCAATGGGGCAGTGCAAAGCTTCCAACTCATAAGGCATGTGATGCAGCTGAGAATCCTTTGTCTCTGCCCAATTTCTTTTTTCAAAGTCACTATTTTCCTTTTCCTTTTTTTTTCCCTTCCAAATGGGACCTCTTTTCAGTCTCGTCATCACCAATTCAAAGGCCCCTATTTTCCATCCTCTCTAGGCTTCATTTTGATGGGATCTCCCTCCATTTCTTTCAAAAAACCCCACCAAAAAAAAAAGAAGTGTAATTTGGATCAATTTTGACTGTCTGAATTTTACATACAAAAACTACTGTTTGGGAAAAGGAATCTCGAGTATTTGGATGGAGTGGATAATATACAATTGGATTCCCAAAATCAAGGTGGATCATGTTGATCATGTTCATGTGTGTGGCTGCTGATTAAATTAATTTAAATTAAAAAAAGAAGGAAATTTAGATATATGTTATCATAGGTTAAATCATGTACTGATGGAAGGATTTGACTGAGGAAAGAAGTTAGATTATAAATGTGCATACAAATCTGTGGCAGCACAACTCCACTAATATTTGAGCCTATTTATGGGACCAATGATGCCCTTGAAATTTGCTTTCATGGGTCCTATTTGGTCTGTGTTTCTTTCCATGTACGTTATGGAATCAATTCAACTTAGAAGAAAGAAGAAATATTGCTACAAAAGAAGCTTTTGGGGTCACCACTTGTTGTTTAATTAATCAGCTAACCCTATATGCATTTTAGCCTTATCCCCTACTCCCAACTAACTACCTTTTTTCCATGCATCCCCAATTCTTCTGCGGCCATGCCCCCACTGATCAATTTTTGAAAAAAGGCGATCTTTATGGCGAAATTTGCTTCTTGATTTCCCCATTCACAATCCCAATTCCATCCAATTAACAAAAGTAACAATTAAATTGTTAAGTTGAACATGTATGTGCATGAATTTAATATATATATATATATATATATATATAGTTTGTTGTTATATGTTAGTATAGTATAGAGATGAAGTGGAATTTGCATGGGGTGTATGTGATGAATACTGAATAATAATAATGATAATGATAAAAGAAAAGAAGATAAAGTGATTGTAAGTGTGGAGAAAGGACAAAAGGAGTGGGGTGTGGCAGAGGGTGAAGAGCAGTACTGAAATGGATGGCAGTGGACAAATTTTGGACATCATATTGGGGAACGAAGACGTAATACCAGCCTTCCACTAGGGTTTTTCAAACCTCTCTCTCTCTCTCTTCTTAGTTTGTAAAAATTGCAACTTTACATCACAATCTTTCTCTCTCTGAGTTTGTGAGTGATTTGGAGATGATAAATTGATGATGGGAAATAGGTTCGTCCTGGTGCACGATACCTGTTGGTGGGTTAGGTAGCAACCCCTGCCCACCCTCCCCTCGGACCCATCCCCTAGATTCCTGCCCCCACCACTCTCCCATTTCCCTCTCTCTCTCCTCTTTGGACCTAAACATTCAGCCAACTCACCATCTTCTTTTCCTTTTCTTAAGTTACCGTTTTTGGTGTTGGGTTCGTAATAAATGCAAACAAGGTTTTATATGCACGGGAAAGACAATTATCTCTATTGTTATAAGTTTTTTGGTTTGTAAGACAATATGAGATCGTTGTGGAGATACTTAGAGATACCATTGTCATTAGCACTTTCTTTAAACAAAATCCCCACAAAAAAAACCTAATACATCACACCCCCATCTCATTTTTACTTTACATTCTTCTTCTTTAAAGGTCTACCCCTTCTCCAAATTCCATGCTTTTTTCTTTACCCTTTTTCGATTCTATTATTGTGTCATGTACAACTTCTTCCTTTTCTTCTTCTTCTTCCCCTTTCGTATCACCCCTTTACCATTAAATAAATGATTTTGGACAGAGTTAAAAAGAAGAGAAAAAAAAAGATGTGTTTCTTTTGCATACAACTGTCATGCATTGTTAATTAAGACTTGTGGAAAGCGCCATTTGTTTTCTCCAGAAAGATTTGATTACCAATAATTAACTCTTCCTCTTAAGTAGAACGTTTCTGATCACAAGTTAAGTTAACAGCTGACAGTATACAAACCTTTTAATTATAACTGTTAATTGTTACTTGCAACTTACTTTTTCCTTATAATAAAATACACGTACAGTTTATCAGTATGATTCCCTTGGTACTAAAATTAAAATTAATGTTGGTTCAATAAAATAGAACACACAATATTTTTTTTATATATGTGTGAAATTAATGAGCAAATATATTTCAATTACTGCAGCTGTTGTTCTTGTTTCGTCTCATATATTATTTATATTGTTTTAGCTTGCTCAAAAGTCCGTACAGGATGAAAATTTTTGTAATTAAAACCTGCCCGATTTATACTTATCCGCAATATTGTATTCTTGCCCCTTACAAGCAAAAAAAGAAAAAGAGAATCCTGCACATACGAAGCTAATAACAAGAACTGAGATCACACCCTCTCTCTCTCTCTCTCTCTCTCTCTCTATACGTATCATAGAGAGAGAAGAAATAATCAGAGCTCTGCGGAGAAGGTGTGGGATGGTATATAAGCCAATATTTCACATATAAATGCCTCCGATCTCTCTTCTCTCCATTAATTGAAGAGCAACCCCAAGTTGCCTTTTAAAATTTTTGTTTTTCCAAGTGCAAAAAGAACCTGCACATTCAAAACCCACTTCCATATTTAACTCGAGAGAGAGGTTTCAAGATTCCGGCGGTGCACGGCGGCGATCGCAGCTAGCTCCAGCCGCCATGACAAGTAATGGGATGGCCTTCTTCCCAGCAAATTTCATGCTACAAACTTCCCATGAAGATCACGATCACCACCACTCCTCTCCTCCCTCTCTCAACCCAATTCTTCCTTCTTGCACACCCCAAGATTTTCATGGTACTCAATATCATTATCTCTGTTCATCAAATTTTCTTTTCTTAAAGGAAAAAAGGTCTCATCTTTGAAACGGGTTTGGAAAAAAATTGAAACTTTTTTGCAGGAGTGGCATCATTTCTAGGGAAACGATCCATGTCATTCTCAGGGGCGGAGATGGTGGAAGAAGGGAATAATGGAGAGGATGAGTTTTCTGATGATGGGTCACAGGCAGGGGAGAAGAAGAGGAGACTTAATATGGAGCAAGTTAAAACACTTGAGAAGAATTTCGAATTGGGGAATAAGCTTGAGCCTGAGAGGAAAATGCAGCTGGCACGAGCTCTTGGGCTACAGCCGAGGCAGATTGCTATTTGGTTTCAGAACAGAAGGGCTAGATGGAAGACTAAGCAGCTCGAAAAAGACTACGACCTCCTCAAGAGACAATTTGAAGCTATCAAATCAGATAACGAAGCCCTCAAGTCCCAAAACCAAAAACTTCAAGCAGAGGTTAGTCATTCAATATTACTTCTAAAACCCCTTGAATCTTCTTATATCTGCCCGCCGCTATTTGATTCAATCATACTCTTGATCCATAATTCATGGAGAATTAGAAACACCTTAATTAATTAAGCTAGGTTCAGGTTAATATCGTTATAGAAATAAATATAAATTTGTTGTGTTTGGCATGCATGTAAGTGAAAGGGGAATGATGATTGTTTAGATTGAAGGCAAAATGGGTAATGATGAGTCTAAAAAGGAACATGAATTGGGAATTGGGATGGGTTTTTTTGAATTAAAAAAGAAAGAAAGAATGTAAATGGATAAGAAAGCAATCCAATAAGATAGGTGTGGTATTATGTTTGAAGAAGGAAGTTAATTGGTGACAGATAATGGCACTAAAAAGTAGAGAGCCAACGGAATCAATCAACCTGAACAAAGAAACAGAGGGGTCTTGCAGTAACAGAAGTGAGAACAGCTCTGATAACATAAAATTGGACATCTCAAGAACACCTGCCATTGACAGCCCTCACCAGCATCAGCATCAGCACCACCAGCCAACAAATAGGCCTCTTTTTCCCTCTTCTTCCCTAAGGCCTCCAGCGCTGGCTCAGCTGTTTCAGACCTCATCCAGATCAGACCCAACAAAGCTTGAAAACCATCATAATCATAATCATAATCAGATGCCCAAAGAAGAAAGCAGCAGCTTGTCCAATATGTTCTGTGGGATGGATGACCACTCTGGCTTCTGGCCTTGGTTGGAGCAGCAACATTTCAACTGAGATCACCACCACCATCATCTTCCTCATCTTCCCATTAATATAAAGTTATTAATAATGTCATAATATTAATATGTTTAATTTAATTGGATTTTTCGGAGAAATATATCAAGACTGCTCTTCCCCCAACTCCCCATGAATTTGCAATGTTGTCCCCAGTTTTTCTTCCCTCCTCCTCTATTTTTCTTCAGATCATCAACTTAAGAGGTTGTGTTTTTTTGGTGTTAGATTATTTGTCATTGTATAAATTAGTGGAATATATATTTTCAGGTGGTGGTTATTGAGAACCCCTTATGGAGGAATAATGAAGTTCTCTCTTTTCCTTCTATTAAAATTATGGGTAGCATGCATGTCTTGAGTTAGAAGAATATTGAAAGTGATCTAAGAAATATAATTATTAATGTTGAGTTTGATGGGCCTAATTTGCATTAAAATAGAAAGGCATTTGGTTCCACAGAAACAGAAACACACACATAGTGATTTTGTGTGTGGATAAAGTGAGTGAGTGGCAATGATTTTTGGTGGTGATTGAGTTCATTTAGTGGTGAACAAAATCTACCCTGGAGAAAAAGAAGGAGATGGAAGATTAAAGAGAGAGAGAAAGAGAGAGAAAGAAAGGGGAATCAAACACACATCCCAAGAGAGGAAAAAGGACAAAGAGATGGAAGAATGGTAGAAGAAAACAAGGGAAGTTGGAGAAATGGTCGCTCTCGTGAAGGGGACGTAGAGGAAAGGATTTTCTTTATGATGACAAAGGAAAGAAAAGCAAGAAAAAAAAAGGGTATCAATTTCAATTTGTATCAAATGAAAACTACACCTCTCTCTCTCAGCTCTCATGTGAACCCAAAACCACTGTGTTRTGTCTCTGTCTCTGTCTCTGTCTGTGTCTCTCACCCACTCATTTACAATCCTAACATATAATAATCTCTCTCTCTCTCTCACCTTCTTCATGCATTGATCTCCTCGTACATCTCTTTTTCCACACGTTCTTCTCTTCCACTACATATATTATTGCACCTTCCAACTTTTCTCCCTCAATTCACTCCCAAATTTTGCTTCTCCTTTTTAACTTTGTACTTGCTTTTCCTTGGCTTAAAAAGAAAACTATCCTGTGTCTTATTCTTTTAACCAAGAAATTAGCTTTCAATCACTATGCAATTAGTTTAATTTTAATTTGAGTATCCTGGATGCTACACTTATCTAAAATAGACATATGTATCGAGTATGAGATATATTTCGGTGAAATAAAAAAACAAGTCTATACAAACTTAGATCTAAAATGGACAAATGATCATAGACCCATCCTTGTAGCATTTGGATCTTCCAAAATTAGATAATAATAGTTGAGAGTAAACAACGTTATATTGAATTGATTTAACTATTCATCGTTGTCTAAATGTCTCTAGGAGATTCCTAAATAAAACAAGAAGTAAGAAACGAGAATGTTATCAAACATGTGTCCCTCATATGGTCCAAAATTCATCTTACCTCTAACAATTCGTTCTAAGCATTTTCAAAATTCAGTTTTGAAATTATTTCTCATAATTTTAGCCCCTCAAACTAATTTCTCCTAACACATGGATGAAGCAATGGCAGGGTTCGACAACTCTATATAGAGTTTTTGGTTGATTTGTTCAATGTTGGTCTTATTATTACTGTTGGGTAAAAAACAAACAAACATTAACAAATTACGAAGCAAATAAAAAGTTTATAATCAGGGAACGCAAACCTAATTATTCATCCATCCATGACCCAAACATGATTGTTTATGATGATGAGATAATTCAAAGGATTCAAAGACTGGATTTGAATAATAAAATGAAATAAATTTAATTCAGTATGGATTTGGATGATGAGTTTTGTTCGAGTTTGGGGTTACAAAGATAAGAGACAGTAAAAATGTTTGGACGTAATTAGGAACTGCTAGGGTTTAAAAAATATTAAAAAGACTGACATACATAATTTTAAATAAGCCGACAACTTCTGCTCTGCCCATCCATGCTCTGCTCTGCTCTGCTCCCCTCTCCACTCTGCATATTCATATTCCAGTGTTCCCCACGCTGCTTCCTTACTGGGCCTGCAGCTAGAAGCCCATTATTTGGAGGCCCAATAACATTCCAGGTTGGGCCTGCTATTACATTGGGCCCTTCCTTTATACAAGCCAAGCCCAGCCAGTAGAAGAGTAACCCACGTGGCACAATAAAAGCCAGTAGTAGCACTTCTCTCTTTACCACAGCTATCCAAGTCACTTATGGGGCCCACTGTTCATCTTCCAACCAATAGAAACCAAGAGATGGCAAAATCATCCAATTCTATTCTCTGCCTCAATTTCTAATTGGGTTCTCCCCTCACGGATAACGCCCCAAATCCAAATGGCCGGCTCTTCCACCTCCATCTTCTCACCCACCGCCGCCGCCGCCGCCTCCTCCTCCACTCACCACCGACCATTCTGTTACAATTTCCCCACAAAGCTCACGCCCGGATTCAACAGACGAGCCGTCACCCGAATCCTCGTCTCCTCCTCCACCAACAACCCCACCGCCGCCGCCACTACTCGCGCCTCCGCTTCGGAGATCGTCTTCTTCGACGGCGGCGCCCACTACGGCGATCTGGTGGCCAACCTTCTGCTGGGTTTTACCCTGCTGTGGCTGCCCTTGACTCTGGCGGCGGTTTCTAGGGCTTTTTACCTCAGGTACAGGTTCACCAACCTGCGGGTGACCGTGATTTCGGGACTGACGGGTCAGGATAGGAGCGATTTCTCCTACGAGGTGATCAAGGACGTTCAGGTGGTGCCACGTTTCATCGGGGAATGGGGTGATATTGTGATTACTCTCCAGGATGGTACCAAGGTGGATCTTCGGAGCGTGCCCAAGTTCAGAGAGATTGCCAAATACTGTCTCTCTATGGCTGATAAATCCTCTGCTCCCAAACAGAGTGGACCTAAAGGATTTTAGACCGATTAATGCTTCTGTTGTAAATGTAATTCTTCAATTTCTTTTCTTTGCGGCAGAGGTATGTAATTCTAACTTCACTCTTTTCTTTTTAATTTCTTGATGGAGGGTCTATGTGTATCAAAATGTCGAAATTAGTTTCCATTTCCATAGTTTTGTATTGAATTTTGCAAAGGTTATGCGATATACTTGTAAAAAAATGCAGCGGATTGAAATGTTACTCTCACAATTTGGCCATCACTCAGCCGTCTCTTTTCATTGCTGATAAAATTGAACAAATATATATGCTGGTAGCAAAGATTTGCAGCTCAGTTAGGCAAATTTAGCAACGATAACAGACAACTCCATAATTTCTACTATGATATTGTTCATTTTAGGTATAAGTTGCAACTTTGTTTTTGTTTCACTTCAAAGGTATCAAGACTCATACTAGTCCTTACTTATATACGAATCAACAAAATAGCAACATTGAGAAAGGAAAAAAATGGGCTTCGATTAAATAGTAACTGATCCAATTGGTTATCTTATTACCATTTGTTGTACAAGAAATTCACTCTGTTTTTTGGGTATCAAAGCTTCATTTTTCGCATTCTCTTGTTGGTTTTTCGTTAGAAAGGCCATAAGAACCAAAAATGAAACATCTTGCACCCCATTTAACAGCACCCTCTTCCTTCACCATTGGTTTTGCCTGCTCGTGACTCGTGGTTGGTTTCACGCCTCAATGTATTCTCAATGGAGAAAATAGCCGAAATCAGGGCAAACTACACAGCCGTCGATGTACTGAAGCTCTTCTTGGAGATATAGGCACAGAATGAGAAGCCATTTTCCCGAAGCCCAACCTGTTGGGTCCAATGGTCAACCATAGGAGACCCCACCTTCACTCAAATGGACTTTTAGATCCAATGGCTGCCCCCAGTCCAGTCCAGAGACTATGGGAAATCCCGGATCTGGAGAATTTCTTCTTCTATACTTTAATTTCATTCCTCAATCCTCTCGTCTCTAAAGTTGTGTTTTGATTGAAGTTGTGTTTCCCTTTTTATCCACTCCTATCACTTCTAAAATTACTGACTCCAACATAGTTAGTTTTGATGTTAGTAACTCGTCTAAGGTTCAAATTCCCATCTAACGTTTATGATATTGCATTCTAAGTTTCTAAATTTAACTTTGGAGCGTGTTGCTTCAGGGTAAGTAATCATCAATTTGCCACAAAAATCATTCAAGAAACTTCTTTTACACGAGATACTACCAACAAGATACATATACTACCATGGTAACATCCTTTTACTTCTTTCTTTTAGTTAAAAAAAAAAGATACATGGAAGCCCAAATTGTGACTTTTTTTTTTTAATACAACATGTGGGAGTGAAATTCAAACTCACCATCTTTTGGTCTCTACTTATGATCAGGATCTAGAACTAAGAAAATTTTGATGGTATCATGCAAAGGAGTGCAACCTCTTCCAAAATTTAGGCCATGAAGACCCAATTATTTAAAATGAATATTTGCTTTCCAAAAATAAGGGGACTTTTCTGGATTCCTTACTCTTACGACAGAAATACCTTCGTTGTTTTATACTGAGAGAGTAGTAGGGTAGGGTTTGTATTTTCAGATAATAGCCACAATAAATACCTTTTATCATTACATTATTTGCTGCTACATCAGAATAGAACAAATTCTTTATTTTGAAACTCAAAACTTCATTACAGGAAAGTTGGCCTCGAGGGCTACGTCTGAGACACTTTTCCCTAATTTGGTTAAAGACAATGGAGAAACCTCAATAACCACATAAATGGATTACACATCGCTTGTTCAGCCATTCCATGGACTGTTGTATTCCAATTTCTACCCACATGCACAAAAAGCTCAAATTTTTTATAAAATTTAACAAACAGTTGGATGCTTTGTTAAATCATTTCCCTCATTAATTAGTGCATATTATACTCTCCCTAAGTGATGTTAAATGGTATTATTCTCTATTTAAGTTCATGCTAAAAAAAAAATTAATTCCTTAGCATTTTGGTCAAAATAATAGAACTTTAGAGAATGTGTGTGAACAATATATGCATCACTAAATAAATAAGCATTTTGTAATGTTGGAGACATAATCTACTTTTTTAATCTTTTTTTTATTTAATAATTTTAATTTGGAGTAGTCCTAAGAGTGCTGTGCTGGATAAGAAGTTGCAGTACTTGAAAGTTGGCAAGGCCAACTCCACCTGGGGCAGTAGCAGAGCTATCATTTTGGAGGTCAAATCAAATCTAGTCATAAATAATGGAACAAAGCATGGAAATGGATACTCACCATGGGGAGGACTTTCTTTAAAATTTTTAAACCAAAAAAAAACTTGTTTCGTACCATTTTATAAACGTAAAGTTGAAAGGACTGATATCTAATAAATGTTTGAATTTATTAACATATCCATTATATTTTAAAAAAATCAACATATCTATTATATAAAATTTAACTTTAGGTCTAACAAGATCTTAAAATTTTAATGGTGTGTCTAATAGGTCCATAAATCCTAGAACAAAAAGCTGTATCAAAAGCTATTTGTCGATATAAAATCGAAGAAACCATATCTGCTGGAGAGTGCAGGAAAAAACATGGGAGCATCTGATATGACCCAAATGTTATGATGTCATCTCCCCCAGATTGAAAAACTGTGGGCATGTCTCACAGCCCACTCTGAGCCCAAGTATTCGGTGTGTCTCTCTTCAAGGTAGCTAAAGATGGAAATTGTAGGCCCAGAATGGGTAGGGTGCTGGTGGTAGGCCCATTAAGAAATCATTGAAATGACATGGGCCTTGATAGTTATGATACCAACCTGGCCCATTTCAAACCCCATAACTTTTTTCTACAGGGACAGCCACAGCCACAGCCAGTGACAAGTGAGTATGTGACGTCTGTAATAAAATTTGAAAAGTGTTGCTCCATTGGTAATAATAATGGCTAAAATTTCATGCAAGTCTGCAGTTTGCAGTGAAAAAGAGAAGGCATCAATTGCCAACTTTTTAAACTTAACTTCACCCTCCCATTAAGAGAAGGGAAGAGGCCTTATATTTTTGGGACCCTTGAAAATAAAGCAAAATCATTTCTTTGACAGATACGAATTCAGTTTGAGGATGGGTAGCCTTTAAAAAATAAACCCCTTTTAAGTTTCAATCATATATATATGAATGGAGATATGGGTTTTAACCTCAAAAGCTAAAAAGGTAATTAGCTAAACAGAGAGATTAAAGCAAAAGCATAGTGTAAATTGGAGTCAAAATTTTCTCTTGAATTGGATTGTAAAAGAAAGAATAGGAAGAAAGTGAGTTGCTTTAGTTGTTTTGTTAGGGTGGGTGTGTGATTCTGACGGGTTGGGGAAATTCTATGTTATTGTTTAGTAGTAGCCCCAAGGAGCAAACTTTGGTGGCAATACAGACTCGGGCAGAGAGAAAGAAAGGAATAAATTGGATTTGAGGAAGTGAAGGTAGCTGAGATTTTGCCAGCTTATGCTTATTTGAGACTTTTGACCATGTTTCAGGAATTGTCGATCTGACTTCTTCAGAACAAAAGGCAAAATAAATTAAAAATGAAACAAGTGTGGGTTTTGGAGGGGACGAAATGAAAAGAAAGAGAGATCAAGTGATGGAGGTGGTGTCAAGTCACAAGGCAGAAATGAGAGTGCGAGAGGCGCAGAGTGCTCAGTTTTGATGATAGGGAAAAAAAAAAAAAATTGTCAATAGATGCATCTTTATATAAAGATGATAAAGAGAGAGAGATTGCCCCATTTTGGGTAATTTGACAGAGTGTAATTCATCCTTGCTTTCTCTTGCAACTTGCAATTTCTGCAACAAGACATGGCTGGGCTGGCCCCCTTAAAAATCCTCTACTAATGCAAGTTTCAAGTAATTACTGAAATAATGAATATGGATGTTGATGAGTTTATTAAACTAGAGCTGGGTAGGAATTTGAATTTGAATTTGTGGTGGTGGTGGTGGAGCAGTGTGCCCCAAGTTTAAGACATGATTACAGAGCAATCAATGGGGGGTTTTGGGATTTAGCAATTGTATACATATTGTCTGCAAAGTGATGTACAAACATGAAGAGTTATGTAAACAGTGAAATGTTCTCTTTTTGGTACATTTTTAAACAGTTAAATCAAAGTGAAGAATGATTGGCTCAGATGCCTCCACTACATCTTACCCTCTCATTCCCTCTTGCTTCAAGATTTAGTTCACTATCAAAACATATTTGAATTTTTTTTTGTTTTTTTTTTCTATTTTTAAATAAAAAAAAATCAAACCTGTTAAATAACTATTTTTAGTTCCCTGTCTTTAAATATTTAGAAATATTTAGAAAGTTAAAATATATGTTAGAGAGATAAAAATCAAAGTAAAATAGAAATCAACGTGACCAAAATTTGACATAGTTCATGAACTTACTTTTTGTTTCATTCGAAAGACCTCAAATAAATAGAAATGTTGTCACTCTTCTACGAAGCACGCCGTCTATTCGATAGAGTTCAACCACGGATTACATTGTGATTACATCTTCGAGGCTCACCACTATTTTGTTCAACACACGAGGATTCTACTGACATGGATAAGGTATGAACATGATTCTAATATCGCTTGATGCTCCACGTATCCACAATATAGTATGATATTGTCCACTTTGAATATAAATCATCATAAGTTTTCTTTTGGTAATTTCTGTTCCACACGTGGGACCTTTTTTTTTTCCCTTAAAGCTTTTCTTTTTTAACATGGGATCCGCCTTAGGTATACATTTTGTCCCAACCCATCAATAAAAATCCTCCCTTTCTTCACTTCACTACCTACAAATTAAAAAGAAAAAAGAAAGAATTTCCCACTAGGAAAAACTTTACCCTTGTTTTTATTCTAATATTTCTTATTATACTCATATATGCCACTTTAGACTTTAGAGAATAACATTCATACAAATGTTCTCTCTCTCTCTCTCTCTCTCTCTCTCTCTTTTGTCATGCACGTATATTAGAGAGATTAAATTTTGATTAAAAGGAGATGATTAAGGATAATAAGTAAGCATATCTTGTGTTGGATGTGTATTAAAAATGGAAAAGCAAAAGGAAAATGTAGAAAGTTGTTTTGTACTCTTAGCTTTGCTTTTGTCTTTATGTCTTTTTTTTTTTTTTTTTACTTTTCTTTTTCTCTTCCTCTCTCTCCAATGGAT